TATCCCAGCCAGGCCCGCTGACCTTTAAAACTCCAGTCTTTATGCCCCACTGGTTGCAAGAACTCATGAAAATCAGCCCTTCTTGTTTTTTCAGCCAGTCGCTTTGGGGAAACGTTCTTGTACGTTCCCCTGCGTGCTCCTCTCTCTCTCATCTTTCTCCGCGACCATGGCTCCCTTCCTACCGTGGCACTCGTGATCCGTTTCTTGCCTAAACCACGTCTCTGTCCTCTTAGCCTCATTGTTGTGGCTTCTTCGCTCCCTTTACTTGTGGAGTCCATTCTGTCAGTGTTCGGGTTGATTTCTGGGGTATTTAGAATGATTTGATAGTTACCTGTTGTTTGAAGGAAGAGACAAGCCTATGGTATTCCTACACTGCTGCCATCTTAGCTTACCCCTAAATTTTGACTGTTTTGACATCAATGAAAATATATTCCTGACTTTTAAAGAACACTTTTAGTCTATATGGAATAGTTTTTGCATCTTAAGAATGAGCATTTTTGTATTGCAGGATTGAATTTTTGTGCATTTTACTAGTTGAGTTACGTGTTGTAGAACACTGATCTTTCCATAGAGCAAATAGAATGGCATAGTCCCTTATAGCCCTAGAAGTTCTGTATGTGTAATTGGCAATTCATTAGCATCTGGGAGGGGGATGCCAGAACTCCCTGAAATGTGTGGGGTCAGGTTGTCCCCAGTTATGATTTGGTTGGGCTTGACAACTTTGAATACTCGCTTAAACCTATTCTTCATTTTTCCTCATTTTTCATCATATATTAAATGTGTTTTGAAGTCAGTTTCATTTCTTGACTTTTTTCCTTTATATTGTATCTTACAACTTGTGATTTCATCTTTTTTTTTAAATTAAGTCTTCTCTGGTTGATGTGTACAGAGTCATTAAATGTGTATACCTGGGTTACTCTTAATACCACTCTTGTTTACGAATGAGAGGGCCAAATTGATGTCGCTATGAAGGATTTGGTATTAAGTATAAAAGTAGATTATTTTAAACTTAAGTGTTTTAACACTTTTCATATTTTATACTTAATGTCATTATTAGAAATATGCTTGCATGTATTATCAATATTAGTTATTTGCCTGAGTATTCTGATGGCATCATGGGGCCAGGCACACATTGTCAAGTAGATTTTCTAAGGAATTGACCATATCTGCTAAAGAATTGAGATTAGGAAGCTTGAAGTCTGGCTCAGCCAGGTAGGTTGATAAAATGTGACCTTTGTCAACTGGCTCAGCCAGGTAAGTTGATCAAGAGTTACTTTAAGGTTAGGAAATTTCTTGCTTCTAGAGGACTTTATAGAAAGTAACCTTAAGTTTCCTGCTTTAAGAGGACTTAAACTATTCTAGATAGTGATAGGTTTTATTTTTAAATAAGAAATTTAGTACTGTAACTCAGTATTTCTTCCTACTATTTAAAAATTTATCATTTATAAGTTATTGGTTTTTTATAAGTTATTAATTTTTGGTCTGGCTTTCATCTTAAGGTGGTAAGGCAATTTTTATGTTGTTTTTTGTCCAGTCCATAAATATTTTGATTCTTGTGCCTTTTTGTTCTCTACTTTGTAAGGAAATCTGATTACTTGATTTAAGAACAATAAATGTCAGGGTAATGAGGTGTTTTCCATCTCACTTTAGTGGATTAAACACCAGAACTTTGCCAAAGAGTTTCTTTTCGTCTGAGCCCAGACTTTGTACTTTGATGACCCTTCTCTCAAATTTCAGACTTGCATGGTCAACTTCCTGATGGGTGTCCCTATCTTGTTGGCCCATGGACACATCAAACGTAGGTTTAAAGATAACTTATTTCTTGTTTTAACCTCATTTAGTAGCACCACTATTTTCCCAATCACCTACCCAAGCCAGAAATCCTGGTGAGTAATGGCACAAACATAACATGAGTGTGTCTCATCCTGTACTATCCTCCCCTCTGCCTGTGTCGGACATCTCATCAAACAAGTCACTCTTTCCTTTGAATGTTGACATGAACATAAGCTTTTAAAAGCAGCACAATCTAATTGTTACCAAGTCCTGCTGAGTTTTGCTTCCTAAATTTCTTAACTCTACCCTTCCTCTCCCCATATACTATTATTGCCTAATTCAGTCTCCTACAGCTGTTTAATATGTGGATTAAATCCATATAACTTTATGAGGTAGATATTACTATTGCTATTACTACTATTTTAAAGATGAGAAAACTGAGAAATAGGTAACTTGCTTAAAGTTGTGTTTTGCTTTATCTGCTGTAACTGCCTCTTAACTGGTACTTTAGGCTTCTAGTCTTGGCCTCTATGGACTCATCTTTCTTCAGTTGCCAGAGTGATCTTTTTAGAATGTGTGACTTCAGATGCTAGGCTCTATTATCCACTATGACATCTTAGGCAGTGTAGTTAATCCTGCAGCCAAAGTTGAATACAATTTTCAAAGAAATTTTAAATAAATTTTATAAATATAAGGTTGTACTTTATTTTGTTAAAGCCTATTCCATCATGTTCCCAAATTCTATTTTATGTGCTAGCTGTTAAATTAGGTGAAATTTAAAATGTTATACAGTTGACCTTTGAACAATATGGGCTTGAGCTGTGCAAGTCCACTTATATGTGTATTTTTTTCAATAAATGTATGTATAGTACTGTAAATGCATTTTATGATTTTGTTAATAACATTTCCTTTTTTGTTGTTTTTTTTTGTTTCAAATTTTTATTTAAATTCTAGTTAGCACCTATTGCAATACTGGTTTCAGGAGTAGAATTCAGTGATTCATCACTTACGTATAACACCCAGTGCTCATCACAACAAATGCCCTCTTTAATACTCATCACCCAGCTAGCCCATCCCCCGCCCACCTCCCTCTGTTAACCCTCAGTTTGTTCTCAGTAGCTAAGAATCTCTTATGGTTTGCTTCTCTCTCTCTCTCTTTTTTTTCCTTCCCATATGTTCATCTGTTTTCTTTCTTAAATTCCAGATATGAGTGAAATCATATGGTATTTATCTTTCTCTGACTGACTTGTTTTTGCTTAGCATAATACACTCTAGTTCCATTCACATTGTTGCAAATGGCAAGATTTCATTCTTTTTGATGGCTGTGTAATATCCTATTGTATAAATATACCACATCTTTATCCATTCATCAGTCGTTGGCATTCGGCCCCTTCCCTATTTGGCTGTTGTTAATAATGCTGCTATAAACATCAAGGTGTATGTGCCCCTTTGAATCTGTATTTTTGTATCCTTTGGTTAAATACTTACTAGTGCAGTTGCTGGGTCATAGGGTAGCTCTGTTTTTATCTTTTTGAGGAAACTCCATACTGTTCTCCAAAGTGGCTGCACCAGTTTGCATTCCCACCAACAGTGTAAGATGGTTCCCCTTTCTCCACATCCTCACCAACATCTGTTGTTTCCTGGATTGCTAATTTTAGCCATTCTGACAGGTGTGAGGTGGCATCTCATTGTGGTTTTGACTTGTATTTTCTGATGATGAGTGAAGTTAAACATCTTTTCATGTGTCTGTTAGCCATCTGGATGTCCTCTTTGGAAAAATGTCTATTCATGTCTCCTGCCCATTTCTTAACTGGATTATTTGTTTTTTTGGGTGTTGATAACATTTCTTATTTAGCTTACTGTATTGTGAGAATACAGCTTATAATACATATTGCATACAAAATATTGTTTTCATGTTAGGCTTCTGGTCAACAGTAGGCTACTAACTAGTAGTTTCAGGGGGTCAAAAGTTACATGCTTATTTATGACTGCGTGGTTGTTTAAGGGTCATCTATACCTTTGTTAAAGCCAACTATGTCGAAGAGCAAAGCAAGCACACAATAGGGTTCTTAAGTCTGCTTTTAAGGATACTCTCTAAACTTCAATGTTTATTTAAAATAAAGCAATTGTCTTTAATAATTTTATAATACTTAATAGTTTTGGGAGTGATTTTATGTGTATTTTGTTTAATATCCTAAATTATATTTATATTATGGTAGAGCAAGTTTTTGTAAGTGCTTTGTTTACTTAGATGATTTTAGAAAGTACAGAATTAGCCAAATGTCCTATTTATTTAACTTTTCTCTTTGGTGACTTAAATTTTGATTTGAACCATTTTCTTGCCATGATCGCTGATGCTGTTAGTCTACTTTTCTTGGAGACTCAGTTCCTCTATTGAGGAATCTTTGTTATACTAAAAGCATGTAGGTTTATTTCTCTTACACTAAAGTGACTCAGATTATTGCCTTTTTGGTGTTGTATGCTTGTGGGTAGTTTTTCAGGCTTTCATTTTGCTGTCACCTGTTATTTCTTGGATCTTCTTGTAGTAACCTTTTGCTGCAGCATAACATAATGTGACAAGGGCTCACTTTGCAGTCAGACTGAAGTTACTTAATTGTTCTTGTCTCAGTTTTCTCATTTTCTCTGTAAAATGAAGATCAAAATAGCTCATTTAATCCCACTGAAATACAAAACATGAAGTGCCTAGCAAATAAATGCTCAATAATTGCTTACAGGAAATTATGGTTTAGTGATATTTTTTAAGAAGTTCATGCTACCCTTTTAAGTAGAAATAGTGAATATAATTTAATGAAACAAGGTAATTATTGTGTAACGACCTCAGGATCATTTCATCCAACAAGTTTTCAGTAAGAATATGCTATGTATCAACACACACATTTATATTCAGGCTAAACGTCTTTGCTGAGCTTTGACTTTGCAGATTCTTTCACTTTGCTTTTAGGTATGCTTTCCCTTGTTACCTGACATCTTGCCGCTCTTGCCCATGGCTCTGCCCCCACCAAACTTGTTAAGGACTGTAACAGCAATGAAAGCAAGTATGTTCTCAGAGAGGGCCCATGGACTGTTTTTGAATTAAGGACATAAGATTTAATGCATGGATTCTGTGACCTCTTGGCTGCAATTCTCACTAACTGTGGTGCTATTAGTGGGTTTGTATTATTTTCAGATGTTGCTTAACATGAAATTTTCAATTTTTAAATTTCAAGATGGAGATATGCGTGAATTAGAGCGAACAAGACAGTATGTCCATGAAGCTTTCCAAGCAGGGGCTATGACGTGCTTGATTTGTATTGCTTCGGTGAAGAGAAACCAAGCAGTAAGTTCTTCCCTTTATCCTATATTAATGCATCTCCCCAAAATATCTTATTTTGCATTTGTCATATGTAACCATTTATTCTTTTATTTTTGTTCAAATATGCTTCATCTGAGAATTTTATTTATGAATTGATCTTCATTTTGTAAATCTGTAATTTGAAGAAATTACTTCTAAATGAGCAGCCAGTATTTTTAGCACTGTTAATATAAGTGAAGCAAATATCTTCCGTTTTAATACACATGTCAATTTGATAAAGCATAGCATCTGCACTTTAGATTCCCGCAATACTGAAATGTTAAAATGCACTATATTTCACTACTTTCAACAGGTTAAAAAAAGGGAGATATGGTTCCTGCCTTGAAGGAAGTAGAACCTAGCCGTGATACTCAGCAGTTTATTAGTGAGCTTCTCTTGTGTTTCTTGTGTTGGAGACGCTGTGGAAAATGGCTAGGGTCACTGGGGAGAGATGGATTCGGATATAACTCATGTACTTGGAGGTGCTGTGGTCTAATGGTGAAGTTATCCATATGTAAATTTAAAAGGGCATTAAAGAAGCAATTAAGGGGAAGTAATGACTGAATATGGTAGACTCAGTGTTTAGACTCAGATTATAGCAGCATTGCCTAGACAAAATCAGGCCGGATGAATTGAGTTGGTCGTGTAGAGTGAATCAGAAATTTAACATACATTGGACAGGATAGATGTCGATGCATGTGCCTTTGGTGTCTAGAGTCACATCTGGTTGGCTTACTCTGATTTCCGTTGCAGTGGGTGAATAATCTCGCTGCATGTGGTTATATTCCCACCTTAAACACTTGCTGTGTGTAGATTTATTTATTTTTTTAACCTTAATGCTTTCTCCTTGGGATTACTCAGCTAGTACATAGGCATCGTGCACAAGCACCGGGGAATTAGTGTCCCTTGGGGCAGCTTTCTTCCACATGGAATTAACTGGCGGATGAGTGTCCCAGCCTTCTCTCTGGTAGGAGTTGGGGGCAGGGTAGTCTGAGATGTGTTTTACATGGTTCTTCAGAGGGTCCATAACAGGACTGAACTTTGGCCCTTAGCAATAATCAGCTCAACAATATACCATTTATTGGCATTTCCTCTTCCCTCCCTTATCCCCTCATGGTTGCATCCCAGTTCTTTTCTCAGGCACTGCTTTGGGAGTAACAAACTAAGAAGTTGCCTTCTTTTTTTTAATGCTTCTGCCAGCTTATGCATTGTGCTACATGTGTGATTTTATTGAACAGTTGCAAAATGTAATAATGAAAGGAGAACTGATTTTTGTCATTGAAGTGTTGGCAGGTTTTAAGAATTAATTTACTATTTATTAAGTTTAAAAATATGTGTATTTTTTGCTCATTTAATTTTTAGAATTTAGCATTAAGTGCTAGACTAATAGATTTTATATAACAAAAGGGCTATGTACAGATAAATATACATAATATATTTCAGGATTCCTCTGTAGCGTTATTTATAATTGGAAATAACCTAAATGTCCAAAAAGAAATTGGATATGTAAATCTACATGATAATACAGCTATAAATATCATGTATGAACATATTTAATAATGGTAACTGCTTATAGTATGTTAGACTATAAAGTTATATATCAATTAGTACAGCATGACCTTATTTTTAAAAAATGTGAAATATATACCAAAACAATTGGAGAGCGTTCAGAATATTAGTAGTTATTTCTAGCTAGATGACTCTGGGTAATTAATAGTTTTATTTAAAATGTTCTAAACTTAAATATATCTTTATGAAGAACATTTCTTCTATTAGACTGGAAGGAAAAATTTTTTTCTTTAGTCCTTAGGTAGCTCTTCAAAATAATTTAGTGTGTTGCTCATTTTAAAGTATTGGTCATTGGATACATGTTAATTTCTGATACCTTTGTCTTAGGTTTGGAGCTGTTCAGGATGTTTCTGTATATTTCACATGCCCTGTATCCAGAAGTGGGCTAAAGATAGCCAGTTTCTGGTATCTTCTCCTTTGACGGATGACGATTTTGGAAAGAGAGATTATCCTTGGCCATGGTAACTTTCTGCTAATTTAGTTGGAATAGTAAGTTGTAAAATAAATGAAAACTGTAGGTCCTAAGTTGCCGTATTGGTAGTTTCAGTATCCATTTTGGGCCTTCACTTAGTTTGGTTTGTGGAGTTATAGTACTTTGGTAATGGCTTCTATTTTTTCCAATTTGTATAACTAGTTACTTTCAAAAACCTGAAATAAATCATTCAGACTTTACTTTTTCTTCTGCAAAACACCTTAATTATCTTTTTTAAAGAACTTCCATTTCTTTAAAATTCTATATGACTAGAATCCTTCATAATTCTGGTACTTCTCCTCTGGAGTTACTGTTAGTATACATTAGTTAGTATCACATTGTACAAGACTGCCATCTAATGTATTTTGATCATAGGCTTCCTGATGTTATCTTTGAAATCTCTCAAACTGCAGGTGTATATTATTCAATCTTACCACTTTTTCCACATTAATTTCATTAGTATGGCTTATTATTGATGAATATTTAATTGTGAACTTGTTATATTTCTAGAAAGAGTTGGGGAGTGCAAAATTTATATCTCTGCTAAATAAAGATAATAAAAAATTTATCCATACTGGCAGCTCAGAGGGTAGATTTACTGTCAAGGTAATGAAGCATAAACTTCAGGGGTTCTGTGTTCATATAAATAATCACTTTTGTAACTAATTTTAGATTCTTAACAGAGGCCCCTAAATTGTATAAGATTGAGACCTCAGAAAACCTGGATCCATATCAGACCTCCTCTTATTACCACAAATACTGATACATTTGTAAAATTGTGGTGGTGTAGTGGTTTTTTTAAAGTAGGCTCCAAGCTCCACTGACTGAGTCACTCAGGCGCCCCTGTGGTAGTGTAGTTTTTCAAAAACATTTTAGACGTACTAGTTACTTTGAAAAATAATTCTCAGTATTCTGTGAGGGTTTTTATTCCCATGTTAATGGGATATTGAAATTGATGAAGCAAAACGATATGTTCAGGCTTCTCTTACTCTTAAGTGGTGAAGCCAGGATTTGAAACCTAGGATTTCTAACTTCTAAATTCAGTGCTTTTTCTGTTCTTCTGAGTTGTCTCTTATAATACTATTTTTAGAGATATTATTTGTTTTGTTTGCATTGAATATTAGCTTCTCTGAAACAGTTTAAAATTTCAGAGTCTATATTTGTTTTGCTACTGTATATTTGTGGGAGGATTTCGGTGTTCAATAGGTACAAAATTAAACTAGATATTCAGACTTAATTTTAGAGATCTAAGCGTTATGCATACTTTTTATCACCCTTGCTCATCTCATTCTATTTTAAGTGGTCATTTTACCACAGTGCTGGGAAGTGCCAGTTAAAAGGGGAATGAACTTCTACTCTTGACTTAAATCTGAGGAACAAAAAATTGAATCAGCTGTGTAGTAGTAACTTTTGCATTCTATATTTTATATTTTTTAAGAAAACCAGTGACTGTTTTGGATTTGTTTAATCCTCATCAAGATGGAGCTAGAACTTGATACAAATATTAGTAGTTTTAAATTAGTTGTTTTGTGGAATTCAAACATTTAAAATGTTTAAATGTTTCTACTAAGATATTGCTTGCTTATATATAAGACATTGACATAATTACATTTCATTATTGCATGCCATTATTTTAAATAAAACACATGCATTTGCACATAATGCCCATACCTCTCCCAATCTCCTAGAACAATTTAGCCTCACTGTTGATGGGCACTATTAGGGTATTGTGAGTTAACTTTTTAGTCCTCCATACCTATAGGCTAATTTAAAGTAGACATCCCCCGGGCACCTGGGTGGCTCAGGTGGTTAAGCGACTGCCTTCAGCTCAGGTCATGATCCTGGAGTCCTGGGATCGAGTCCCACATCGGGCTCCCTGCTCAGCAGGGAGTCTGCTTCTCCCTCTGACCCTCTTCCCTCTCGTGCTCTCTATCTCTCATTCTCTCTCTCTCAAATAAATAAATAAAATCTTTAAAAAAAAAAAAAATTAGACATCCCCCTCCACGTTAGTTTAGAGGAATGTAGACATTTTTCTCTTATAGCTCTTCCAACAAAATAATATTAGTTATTTATTCTAGATGAGACATGGTATTTTGTCTTTGATTTTTGATTACAAAAACAAGTATCTTTGGTTATTCTGAATATTTATGTGGCATTTATTTGAAAACAGAACATGGTCTCGGGCGCCTGGGTGGCTCAGTCAGCAGGGAATCTGCTTCTCCCTCTGCCCCTCACCCCACTTGTGTTCTCTCTCACTCTCTCTGTCTCTCAAATAAATAAATAAAATCTTTAAAAAAAGAGGACATGGTCACAGGACAATGAAAATGTAAATGATACAAAAGAAAGTGATGATGTGAGACTTTTTCCAGTATAGTTATACTCATTGGCGAATAGTAAGGGTTAGAATATCTTTAGAATGAAGCAATCTATGATCTACAAGTGAATTTGATAGGGCTGAAGGTTAACACTGTTTTATTTTAACCATGCTAGCTAAAAATCTTTCTGCTGTAGCAGAGAAAATGAAACAATATTTGAACTTGTCTTTGATTTAAGCACATTTGTTATATATCTATTTTGTATTAGATATTGAGAAATTCTTTATTTTCCCCCTCAATTCTAAATTGTAGACATGTCTCTTGCTGCTGTATTGCCTACCTATAATCTGGTTTCTGTCTTCTGTTTGCTGTTGCTAATATATTTTACATATTTGCAGGTCACCCAACCAAACTTTTAAAACATTGAGCTTTATAAAAATTGGAATGAGTACCTCAAGAATAAAGTTCATCTGCTTAGTAGAAAGCTAATGTTGCTTTCTTTTTGTAGCTTCATTCTAACTTTGTTTAATACAGTAGCAACTAGCCACATGTGGTTATTTAAATTTTGAAAAATTGTAATAAATTCTGTTTCTTCCTCAGTTGTATGTATTAGCCACATTTTAAGTGCTCACTGGTCATATGTGGCTAATGGCTACTGATCTGGACATGGTAGGTATAGAACGGTTCCTTCATCTCATATTATATTGGACAGAGCCGTTCTAGATGGTTGAAATTGATTTTTGTGAAATCTTGTTTCTTATTAGCATAAAGGTGGAGCAGAGGGTGCATTAATACAGAATTAATTGAGTGTATTCTACTCCTAAGTATGTTTATATTCCTGTTTCTCTTGTCACTTTTAAAAATGAAATTAATTTCAGTAATTTCATTCTTTTTTGTAGTCCAAAATGTAGGTTTGAATACAAACGATCTGACACACCTAGTAGGTACTATTGCTATTGTGGAAAAGTAGAAGATCCACCTCTAGATCCATGGCTTGTGCCTCATTCATGTGGCCAAGTATGTGAGAGAGAATTTAAACCTCCTTGTGGCCATAAGTGTTTACTCCTCTGTCATCCAGGTGAGTTAAATATTACATTTCTAATTATTTGTGGGTGGTTATTTCTTATGTTGAGGCAGAAAAAAAAATTATCAAAGTTTAATTCAGAACTTAAGTTCACATAAGAAGATATTAGAAGGGAATGTCTTTTAAAGTATCAGTACAGAAATCTTTACAAATTACTGATAGGTGTAGGAATTGAAAGTTTTAAATTTTGATTGGTGATTTTTTTTTTTCCCTTTCATTGGATTCTAGGTCCTTGCCCTCCTTGTCCAAAGATGGTCACAACTACTTGTTACTGTAAAAAAGCAAAACCTATACCTCGTAGGTGCAGTACTAAGGAATGGTCCTGTCAGCTGCCATGTGGGCGGAAGTTGCTTTGTGGACAACATAAATGTGAAAATCCTTGTCATGCAGGTAAAAATGTCATACCTGTTAGGTGTTCTGATTTTTTAAGTAAAAATCAAAGCAGTCTTTATTGGTTTTGTAATGTTTCTTTGCTAATTTATCATTGTGATTTTAGGAAATTGTCTGCCCTGTCCAAGAGTTAGTAGACAAAAGTGTGTCTGTGGGAAACAAGTAGCTGAAAGGAGCTGTGCGAGTCCACTGTGGCACTGTGACCAAGTGAGTGTATATGCATTTGGAGGGGTGGGTATTAAAGAATACAGAAAACATAAATAATTTGAAATGCTAAGTAGGTTTAGCTGGATAAAAGAAGAGGAAGAGCAAAGCAAATGAATTATATTCATGTTTTAGGAAACTATTTTCCAATTTAATGTAATTTTAATTATTGGAGGAAATTTTTTCTTTTCAAATTAATAGCTATTTGTTGAATTTTGGATTCAGTACATATGTATTCTGCTTCTTGCTATCTCTCCTTCCTTGTCTTTCCCTTCTCTTCAACTAACACCACTCTGTTCTTGAGTTAATCCAGTTGAGGAAGTAGGATTTTGTAGATTGTCCTAGAATTAACATGGTTTTAGTATCATTTGGAAATCTTTGGTAGATGGCCATATGAAGCTATATGTTCTTTTTCCTCTTTATTTTAAAGGTACATTTTTATTTTTGGTACATAGGAAATGTATGTGTGTATGTTCATGTGTATATGTTTGTGTATATGTTTATGTATATATATGTGATACCTATATAAAATATAAAGCATAATATGAAGAACATAAAGAAGTTGCTTGTGATTGAAAAATGGATTAGGTCACACACAGAGTCTTATTGTTAACTTTTAAGTCTTATGTGCTTATTGCATTTTATTTTAGGTATGTGGAAAAACCCTGCCATGTGGTAATCATACATGTGAGCAAGTTTGCCATGTTGGTGCTTGTGGAGAATGTCCTCGATCTGGGAAAAGGTTCTGTCCATGTCAGAAGTCAAGTAAGACTTTTTTTTAAACCTTTAATGGAATATGATTATTTCTCCTGTTCACTTAGAGTACATTCCTAAATTAGATTTCTGTGGGAGTTCATAATGTAATTTCAGTAAAAATACCAATTTGATAGATTTTTTTTTTACATTTGCTGAAAGGGGACAATATAGTTTAGTGGGTTAAGAACTCAGACTTTGGAATTAGGCATATCGTGGTTCAGATTCCACCTTCACGAACTATAGTTTTCTCAAGTAAAATGCAGTAATAATATTTTCTTTATAAGATAAAGAGAATGAAATGAAAATTAAATGATAAAATGCACATCAAGTATCTGGTGTAGTGCCTGGCAATAAAGGAAACCTCATAATCATAGACTGTCGTCATTATTGTATTGTGTATTAGGTTATGGGTGAATTTAATTTGGCTGCTTTGAAATAAGGCACAGAACGTTGCAGTTTGAGTGTACTTCTTTAACTCTTCACCAATACCAGCACACATATTTATAAGATTATTGCCAACACTTGTCTTAGTATGTGTATGTTAAAGGTCAGTTTCATAATGTTCTCAAGTCTACATCTTTTTTTTTTTCTAATCCTGTGAGGTTGTTAAGAGCAAATTTCCTTTTTATAATTCTATTTATTGTAGAAGTCTTCATAGAGGTTTATATGGTCTTACTCTTTTATTTAGTTAAGTATTTCTGAAGTAGTTAGCTCATAAACATATGTGTCTTGAGGATGGTAACTTATTATGTGTCAAATTCTTTTTAAAAAACAAACTTTTTTATTAGTGATTATTTTCATTAAATTTAGCTCTTTCCAGTAACTATGTAGATGCGTAAATTCATAGTCTGAAAGGGCTGTCATTCTTTAGGGAGCCAAAAGAACATGGCATGTAGTTAGTGCTTTATAATAATGTATCTTACTAACTTTGACTTTTGTCTGCTTTTAGAGTTTTCTTTGCCGTGTACAGAAGATGTACCAACTTGTGGAGATAGTTGTGACAAAGTACTTGAATGTGGAATCCATAGATGTTCACAGCGTTGTCACCGAGGTCCTTGTGAAACATGCAGACAAGTTAGTCATCTCCTATAATAATTAATTTTAAAAAACCACCTGTCATAGTATGTCAAATGGGATTATGCTATAATTGTTTTTCATTACTTTCTTTTTTGTTTTGTTTTAGAAGATTTTATTTATTTATTTGACAGAGAGAGACACAGCGAGAGAGGGAACACAAGCAGGGGCAGTGGGAGAGGGAGAAGCAGGCTTCCTGCTGAGCAGGGAGCCCGATGTGGGGCTCGATCCCAGGACCCTGGGATCATGACCTGAGCCGATGGCAGATGCTTAACGACTGAGCCAGCCAGGCGCCCGTTTTCCATTACTTTCATAAACATCTATGTGATGATCTGTATGAGCTTAGTGACCTAATGTTTATGGTAGAGAAGCAGGAGAGTATGCCAACAGTCAAATCTAAAAATTACCCTTTGTTTGATTTTGCTTTGTAGAAGTTTAAACATTGTCATTTTTATAATCTAGCATGGGGTTGTTTGTTTTCAGAAGATATTCAAAGCAATGATAAGTCGGCCTAGTGATGATAGAAAGAAATAAATGCCTGGAAGTGAGATGTTAAATAACGTTATATATGTCATTTTGGTTTGGACCATACTACTAAATAATCCACTTCTTTTGTTTTACTGAAACAAGATGGGCAGATGGTATGGTGTAACTACATGTTATTTTAATGTGTGCAGTTGTTTTACTATTGAATATCCAATTTTTACTAAATTTAATAGTGGGAATTCTATGAAGTCTTTGTTGGAACAAAGTAAGATACAAACAAATGTCTTAGGAAATTCAGCTTTATTTTTGGTAAAGTCCTTTATATGAAAGTCTTTTAAAACTTTCCTTCTTCATTCTTTACTAATTAATAGAGATTGCAATGTGGGGAAAAAATGTCAACAAAAGTTAGTTTTAATAACATTCATTCGATTCTTCCAGGAAGTGGAAAAGCATTGTCGCTGTGGAAAGCATACAAAACGAATGCCATGTCATAAGCCTTATCTATGTGAGACTAAGTGTGTTAAGATGCGGGACTGTCAGAAGCATCAGTGTAGGAGAAAGGTATGTGTAGTAAGCCTGGGAAACGGATTTAAAAATTGTCTTGAATTTGTACTTTTTGAGCCTGTGATAAGTGCCATCATGATTTATTCTTCAGATGTTAAAGCATGTTCTTTGCTTTCCGTATGAAATACTAATGAATATTCTAGATTAATCTTAATTGTTTATATTAGTGGGAAATCTTACCAAGGTTTTTAAATGACAGGGTCTCTTTTTGGTCCTGGGCATAAACCTTTTAACTTGGTTCTTGGGCTGTTTCTGTTCCCTGGATTTTAAAACATCATAGTAGTGTTAGAGCGATAGTTCATTTGGTGGTAGAGGCTTAACTTCTAGTGTTCAAATCGTATTTATAGACACTTGGTTCCATTTAAGATGGACGGGAGTATTTTACTGAGTCTTTAGATTTGTAGTTTTTTTGAGTTCCATTTATCATGAATTATTCCTCTATTTCTGGTAAGGTTTCCTTGTTCTTAAATCTATTGACATATAGTGATGCTGTTTTGTTTAATGTTAATACAGATATCTTTTTCTATTCTTTTACTTTTAACTTATTTTATATTTAAAGTAGATTTCTTATAGACCACATTTAGATATTATTTTATAATATCTTCCACTTTAAATGTTGACAATCTTTGTCATTTAATTTGGGCGTAGATCATTTACATTTAATGTGATCTTTAATATGGTAGGATTTAAATCTGTCATTTTGCTATTTATTTTCTATTTGCCCATCTGTTGTTTGTTCCTTTTCCCTCTTTTGTGTTTTCTATTTGATCAAGTATTGTTTTTCAGTGATTCATTTTAACTCCTTTATTGGATTCTCACACATTTTATATCCATGTATTTTATAAACCCCAAATACATTGTTTTTACTTTTGCTTTTAATAGATATCTTCTAAAGAGTTTGAAAAAAATAAGAAAAGTAGTCTTACATATTTATCATCAAATTCACTATTTTTGGTGCTTTTCATCCCTTTACATAGATTTGGGTTTCTGTTTTCATTTTCTTTCTGTTGGAAGGACTTCTTTTAATATTTTTTATAATGCTGGTCATGACGTCTTTTACCTTTAATGACTTCAGCCATTGTGAAAAATATTTCTACAGTAGAATTCTAGTTTGACAACATTTCCCCCATACTTTAAAGATGTTGCTCCATTATCCCTTAGCTTGCATTTTTTTTCCAAAAAAGTGTATGCTGTGATTGTTATCTTTGTTCCTCTGTACTGTATGTAATGTCTCTTTTCTCTTTGGCTATTTTTAGAGACTTTTCCCTATACTGTTGGTTTTCAGCAGTTTATTTGTGGTGTTCCTGTGTATAGCTTTCTTCTTGTTTCTTTAGCTTAGTTTTTGTTGAGCTTCTCTGATCTGTTTATAGTTTTCATCAAATTTGTGAAATTTTCATTCTTTGTTGCTTCAGATATTTTCCCCCCATGCATCACCTTCTGAGACTCCAATGATGTGTATGTTATGTTGCTTGAAGTCCCACAGCTCACTGATGCTCCATTTATTATTTAGTCCTTTTAATTTCTGTGTTTTATTTTAGCCTGTGTAGCTTTGTCTTCAGTTCACTAATTTTCTTCTACATTGTCTAATTTGATGTTTATCCCTTCCTGTTTTTTTATCTCAGACGTAGTACTTTTTTATCTCTGGGAATTGGAGTTGAGTCTTCTTTATATCTCCCGTGTCTGTCCTTAGCAGGCTCATGCTTTTTTCTATCTTCTTGAATATGTGGGTGGGCTATACTTTTATAATGCCCATTTTAATGTCTTTGCCTACTGATTCTGTCCTCTATCATTTTTGGGTCTATTGCTATTGATTGATTTTTCTTCTTTTGGATGATATTTTCCTGATCGGTAATTTTTTATTAGTTTCCAGACATTGTGAACTTTACATTTTTGGATGCTGGAGATTTGTTTTGTTTTGTATTTCTTCCTTTTTTTTTTTTAAGATTTTATTCATTTATTTGTTAGAGACACAGCGAGAGAAGGAACATAAGCAGGGGGAGTGGGAGAGGGAGAAGCAGGCTTCCCGCTGAGCAGGAAGCCCGATATGGGGCTCGATCCCAGGACCCTGGGATCATGACCCGAGTCAAAGGCAGACGCTTAACGACTGAGCCACCCAGGCGCCCCTTGTTTTGTATTTCTTTAAATATTTTTAAGCTTCATTCCGGGTTGAAGTCAAGTTATTTAGAGATCATTTGGTTCTTTTGAGGCTTGATTTTGTTAGGTGGGATGAGGCCACCCTTTTATCTAGGGCTAATTTGGGCATTACTGAGGTAATAATTCTTCTAAGTACTCTACTTAATGCCTGTATATTAGGAGGTTCTTTCAGTCTGTCCATAGGGAACACAAACTATTCCTAGCCTTGAATAATTTCTGGAAATAGTTGTGCCTTCTCTTTCCAGTGGTTCTTTCTCAGGTTTGGGTAGTTTCCTGTGTAAAGACCAGTACTCAGCCGAAGACTCAAGGGGTCCTTTCTTGAGTTCTCCAGAACTTTCTCTGTACTGCTACCACTTCTCCACAAATTCTAGCCACACTGACCTCTCTGAACTATGAATTTTGTCTGCTCAACTTGGTGAGACCACCAGACTCTGCTTGTGGTCTTCTTTCCTGGGAACCACCAGGTCTAAGCAAGTACTATCATAGAACTCACCTTGTTTACTTCTCTTAGAGATTCTTGTCCTGTGCTGCCTGATTGTCTAATGTCTAAAAACTGTTGCTTCATATATTTTGCCTGATATTCTGGTTGTTTAAAAGCGAAGAGTAAATCTGATCATTATTACTCCATCATGGTCAAAACCAGAAATATGTCGAAAGGCATGGACCACATAACTTTCTTTTTTTCTTTTCTCCCATTGTTACTGGCAGAGTGATAGGCACATAGTACTACTTGGTAAATATTTGCTTAATTGAATGAACTATTTTGACTTTTAATTGCTTTTCAATAGTGTGTATTCTGTTTTGAGCCATTTTTATACACTGAAACTTGTTCTTAAGCTGGTTACAACTCTAAGTTTCTTTAAGACAATTGTAGTCTGTATTTTTTCCCCAAAGTTTGGATGTATGAGAGGTCAAGGAAGGAGTTAGGATGGCAAGATGGGCTTTAAGCAGTTGCTGTGTGTTCATGAATGAAATTGGGGGAGGTCTGCACAAATGGATTGGAAGACAGGGAGGTGAGAAAATAAAGTTAGAAGCAATTAGTCTTTCTCTGTTTCTCTCTTTTAGTCTTTGATGCCATGGTTTGAAAATTACTGCCAAACTAATCTATACATTGAACCATACATTGATTTATTTTCATTAAATAATTTAAAAGATAGACTTAATTGTTTGCCTGAATTGACTGTGAGATTTGACCAAATCCATTCCTTTCGTTAATATTGGCCATCTCTGCATAGATAAGTAGGGATGAAATTATCTAATGGGACTGTTTTTAATTTACAGAATAATTAAAGGGCAAGGAAATTTAGCTTGATTTCATTAAATTAGGTCATGGTCTATTTAAATTTATAAGTTCTTAATACAGTCTGTCTATTTAGAATAATATTGATCCTCTTGAATACTTTTATTCTTTGGTGAAAAGAAGTATCTTTTGCTTTTCATGAGTTCTGAGAATAACTAGTAATGACATTCATATTATGTGTGGTTTTCAAATGACCTGTTCTTTATATATTGCTTTCCCTTCAGTGTTGCCCTGGAAACTGTCCACCTTGTGATCAAAACTGTGGACGGACTTTAGGATGTAGAAACCATAAATGTCCATCTGTCTGCCACAGAGGTAAAATTTAACAATAGCTGTAATTTAATGTTTCTATTGATACCGTGCTTTATAGTTGATAAAGAAAGTTTTACATTCATTATCTTACTCTTAACAACCTTGAGAAGGTAGGGCAGTCACCAGTCTCCCCATTTTATGGACAAAGAGTTTGAACTGAAGATACTTCAGTGACTTACTCTGAGAAATACCTAGTAAAGCAGGATAGCTAAGATTTGAACCAGGCCTTCTGAATATAAAAGTTTTGTTCTGTCTATAACACCATGTTGTTTCCTTACTTCTTCCTAACCTTCTCACATAGTTTTTATATTAATTAATATGTTCTTAGGATTTTCAGTGTTATTTTGAATTTTAGACATTTATATGGAATCGAGTCTAGTAAGGGATTGGATGTATCCTAAGCCAGTGGTTCTCAGCCTTTTTGGTTTCAGGATCCTCTTACATTCTTTTTGTAACCAATGACCTTTTGGTAATGTTGGTTTTATCTATTGGTATTTATTGTATTTGAAGTTAAAATAAAATGTAATAATGTTTATGATTTTATTTAAAAAAAGCAATAATAAACCCATTACATCTTAATACAGTAACATTTTTTTGTGACTAAAATTACACTATTTTCTGAATAAATGTAGTGAGAATGATATTGTTTTACATTTCTGCAAATGTCTTTAATGTCTCCTTATTGGAGAATAGGCAAAATTCACGTGTGCTTCTGCATTCAATTTGTTATTATACCACTTGACCCATGGCATCTGGAAAACTACTCTATGCATGTGAGACCTTTAGACCTCCTGAAAGGGTGTCAGGGTTGCTGAAGTTATTAGACATTGACAACTGAGTTAACGGGGCATGTGGGTGGCTCAGTTGGTTAAGCGTCTGCCTTCAGCTGAGGTCATGATCTCGGTCCTGGGCTGGAGCCTCCTGCATCCTCAGCTCCCTGCTCAGCAGGGAGACTGCTTCTCCCTCTACCCTAGCCCTGCCCTGCTCGTGCTCACTGTCTCTCACGTGCTCTTTCTCTCAAATAAATAAATTAAAAAAAAAAAAATCTTTAAAAAAGGAAACTGAGTTAACATTACCTGTTTGGAGTAGGTTGATATGAAAAGGAATACTGATTTTATAGGGCAGTAGGAAGGGCATGGACTTTAGGGTAAGAGGTCCTGATTGAAGTCTGGACTCTGCAACTTGGTTAGTAGCATTATGACCTGGGACAAACTATACTGTTTTTATTATCTTCCTTTGGGATTAGGTGGATGCTAGATACCTCCCTTAATCTCTAAATCCTCTCAAAAGTTCAAAAAGTATATTGTGCTACTATTATTTTGTACAGTAAGGAAACAGGCAAAGAGACTTTTGGCCGAAGGTCATAGAACTAGTTGCAGGGTCAGATGTGAACTCACACTTTAATGATCTTTCCATCCTATCACATTGCCTCCCTGTTAGGAGAAGTGGCAGATTGAATTAACCCCATAGACTTTTTCCTGTGAGGGTTCTCTGATTTGTTGGTGTCTTTAAATTGTGAAAGAATTTTATTTTTTTAAGGTCATATTACATCATTGATTCATTAGATTTTATTAAGACTCTAAATTTGGAAATTAATTCAATTAAAAAAGTATTTTTGTGTGTCTACTAAGTACCAGGCACTGGGAATATGTAAGTGAACAGTACTGACAAAGTCCCTGCTCTTATGGAACTTATTTTTTTACTACCCTTCAGTTAGAATATAAGTAAGTAATCAAATTAATATGGAATATTAAGTAGTGACAATTATAGAAAGAAACTCTAGTGTGATCAGGAGAGGACTCTAGAAAGATGACATTTGAGAGGAATCCCGAAAGAAGTAAGGGATTACAAGCCATGTGAAAGAGGGTGTGGGATAGTGTTTTGGGCAAGAAAGCAGTAATTTCAAAGGCCTTGAGACAGGAGCATTTGAAAGAATTCACAGAGAGGACTGAAGTAAGTGTTCCCCTTGAGTGTCCCCCTTGAGAGGGGACAAATGATGGGCGATGAGGTCAAAGAGATGGTGGGATAAAGGATTGCTGGAGAAAGAATACGTATAGGATCTTGTTGACTGTTGTTAAAACACTGGCCTTTACTTTAATTAGAAAACCTAACTAGTTGTATTACCATTAAAGAAATTGGATCCAGTAGTTTAGAATTCTCTCACCAAGGAAACACCAGGCCTAGTTGATTTTTACACATGATTTTTAACATTTAAGATGTGTGTGTGTGTGTATGTATGTATGTAAGTTCAGTCTCTCCATAAACTATTTGAGAGTATATGTAAAAAAGGAACATGTCCCAACTCATTATATCATCTGACAAGGAAGCTAAGAAAATTATAGGCCAATCTAACTCAAACATGTTTGTAAAATATTAAAGTTACTGCTACTCAAATCCAGCTACCCAGTATAATAGTTTTAGCTATCTAAAACCTTAATCTTTCTTAATCAAGTTGGGTTTATTCCAATAATGTAGGATTGGTTTAACTTTAGTAAATCTAATGATGTGATTCACTGCATTAATAGTCTAAGGGAAAAGTGAAACTATTTTAGTAAATGTCTAAAAACAGTTGATGAAATTCAACATTCATATTTGATGTAAACTTAATTAGAAATTGAAGGGCGCGTCCTTAACCTGATACAGAGTACCTGCAGAAAGGGTAGAGCAAGCATCATACTCAGTGGAGGAGTGTCAAAAGACATCTCACGCTTGTATTGTTTTGAAGCAAGTCCCACAAATCCTTCAGTGTTCATTTCTAAAAGGTGGATTCTTAACCTAAAAGTAGTTAAAATATTTCTTAATATCAGCAAATATCTGCTGTTCAAATTATCTTGTGTCATAAATATCTTCATGTTTTAATTTAGTTTGTATGACTCAAAAACCTGGTAAGACTGACATATTGCAATTGGTTGGTGTCTCTAAAGTCTGTGAATCTCTACTTTCCCTCTGTCTCCTTTTCTTTTTCCTTGTCTCTTATTTGAGAAACGAGGTTGCTTTATTTAGTCACAGAGTCTGCATTTTACAGATTGCGTCTCTGTGGTATCATTTGACATTTTCTCCTGTATTTCCTATAAATTATTAGTGGGATGTAGAGGTTTGATCAGATCCAGGTTCAATTTTTTTTTTTTTTTGGCAGAGCGTTTATTTTTTTAAAAAAGAAGCTTATTAGCCCCTAACAATTTACCTTAATGGAAAGTATGTGGAAGATGTGTTGTGCAGCTTTCACCATTTGTTTGATCCACATAAGATACATAGAACCATTATTTCGTACCGTTTTCCATCATTCAAGACACCATGATCAAGGTTATACTGTAACTCATAGGAAAAGGATGCACACTGCATGTTTGCACTGTGAATATGAAAGTTTGACTTACAGTTCTTTAAGTTCAGGGTCATCTGTTTTTATGGTTCTGGAATTACTGGATGAGTACCCATTTTGGCTATTGACCCACTGGTCACTGGAGTTGCACTCTGTATGCTGCTTTTTCATTTTAAAACTATCATTGAAGCTATTTTATCTGTCATGTTGTACAGGAATCTGTAACAAATTCTGTTGATCGGTAGGAAGACTTCAAAGAAATTATCCCTTATTTTTCTCAGGATTTAATTTTCAAAAAAGGAAAAGTGATGCTGTAGTTTAGAGTGGCAGAAAGGTGTTATGTTTGGTAAGTTCCTGTTTGAATTGCTGAAGGTGAATGAAAATTATTAAGTGTGGAAAATGATATGCTGAATGAGAACAGACTTAAAGGTCATTATTAACTTTTAGAAAATATGACACCTGGTCATTCTTTTGGAAAGATAAAATAAAATTTGATCATGTGGATAACTTGGCTTGCATTACCATCAAAAAAAGACTTCACTGGATTATACTTATCAAAACACTGAAGTAAAAATTTGGTAACTTGTACAGTGGTACAATACATATCTATTTTTTTCCCTGTGTTGTTTTTTACTCTCATTTCCTTATTCTGTGTTCATTATTTGAATCAGAATCCTTCTGTTCCTTTTAGGAACTATTATAAGAGGCTTTAACTAGGGTACTTTTCATCATTAGTCTGTTTCTTGTCAGGTTAACTGCTCTTCAGTATTTTGCTTGGTCCTGACACATAGGCAGCAGTCTTTTACGATCCTCACTCCTTAGTTGAAGACTTTTATTCCCTTCTTGCTATTTCATTTCTAGTGGGGAACCTTACTTAGTGGGAACACTAGAGTGGGAAGAAAACCCCGAAGATGATGTCAGAGCCTTGGGGAGAATTTTATAGCCAGTTTAAAAAAGTTTCTTTCATTTTGTTTTTGTGTATTCCTACCAGCCTGTAACAAAAGTAGGTAAAAAACTGAAACCCAAATAACTTTTCTTTTTGAAATGTTTAGAACAGAAATACTTGGGAATTATAACCTAAAATGAGCGTTTAGAATTAGTCCTTCACAAAGCATGAGTAATAGTAAATTGACTGTGCTTGTTAATAACCTGATGAGAGAAATTACTCTTATTGGGGAATTTATCTAAAAATAATGTACGTAATAGAAATATGTATGAAAATAAGCCAAAAGTTTATTGATAACATTAGATTTTCCAAGAGATAAATCTATTTTGCTTGTGTAGTGATGACTAAATGAGTAATGTGTTAAATGTTATTAGGCTAGAATTTTAGCAAATTTTAAAGAAAATTCTGAAACTTTTTAATTGAATTACCAGTGTGGATATAGAAAAGTATACAGATAACTAGTGTATAGCTTGATGAAGTTTTACGAACTGAACATTACCAGTATTTCCAAAACCCTCCTTGTATTCTTTATAACCATCATCCTGCTTTCAAACAGTATAGATTAGTTTTTCCTATTTATTATATGTAAACGGACTCATATACTACATACTTTTTGTGTTTGGCTTCCTTTGTTTGGTGTTGTGTGTGTGAGGTTCATTCACGTAGCTTCTTTATTCTCATTGTAGAGTATCCAGTTGTGTGAATACCAAATTCATTGATCCTGTTGTTGATTGTCATTTGAATAGTTAAGGATATTTCTTTTTAAGTTTCAGACCTTTTTTTCAGGCAGTTGTTATCCCTGCCCAGAAACTGTAGACGTGAAGTGCAATTGTGGTAATACAAAGGTGACGGTGCCCTGTGGCCGGGAACGTACCACAAGACCACCCAAGTGCAAAGAGCAATGTAGGTTAGTATGAGGTTCTGCACAGACTTACACCTGGTGTCTTAGCAAATTTAAATTCATATTGATTTTTAAATATTGTTAGTATTTTAAATTTTGCATTAATGTTCTAAAATACTAACATTCACAGTATTCTTGTTCTGTATGGAATCAGAAGATACTTAAATAGATAATTGCACTTTAGATATAATTGTTCATTAATCAAAAGTAATTTAAAAAATTGTATTTTATGATTTAGTCGACCACCAACTTGCCATCATACAAGTCAAGAAAAACATCGCTGTCACTTTGGCTCTTGTCCTCCATGTCATCAACCTTGCCAAAAAGTTTTGGAGGAATGTGGTCACTTGTGTCCTGCTCCATGTCATGATCAAGCATTAATAAAGCAAACTGGCAGGGTAAGGGAATATATTATTAAGAGGTAGTGCATTTCTGTGGGTCATATTTTCTTAATTTTACTTAGTCATTCAACAAGCAATGATTAAGTACCTACTGGGTGTTAAGCACTGTGATAGGAGCTGGGGTACAAGGTAAATATGACTTGATCTTTTGTCCTAAGAAGCTCATGGCATAGAAAAGGCGAGAAACCAGTAAACGGATATTTGCTAAGAACGTGTGATAATCATGTTATCATCCTGATACACATGAGTTTGGCAGTCTTCCTTCATATATTGTGGTTCAGGGTTATAGATACCTTCTGGTTTCCTCAAAGATTCATTCACTTAGTGAATATTTATTGAGTCCTTACTGTGTGTTAAGCAGTCTCCTACCTGCTAGGGAGACAACAGTGAACAAATAATGGAGATTACATTCTACTGGTGGAAGTTGGATTTTATAGTGCTGTTTCTCATTCCCCTTTTGGCTAATAAGAAGTAAAGGAAGCTACTTTGTCTTTGTTCTGCCATTTAAAAACTGGAATCTGCCTTCATTTGTAGCATCAGATGTGTGTGGAGGGGAACATCTGATAGAGTACAGATGGAATAAAATATTTCAGTAAGCACAATTTGTTGGTTACTTGAAAAAATTTCAGCCTGCTTGAATAGAGGATATGTGGGACTATTTTCTTAGATTCTTATATTGGCCATATGATTTAATTCCTCTGCCTTTAAATTGTTACGTATTTTACTTGTAGCACCAGCCTACAGGCCCTTGGGAACAGCCTTTGGAGCCAGAATTTATTCAGACTGCATTACCGTGTCCTCCATGTCAAGTTCCTATTCTTACGTAAGTATTTTAGTATTTTAACTTAAAAAAATTTTTTTTTTTACATAGTTCTAAGTTTATCTTAAATTACCTTCTCCCCTTTTTCTGTGTTCAGTTCATCATTTTTTTCAGGCCTAGTCCATAAACCAGTCTCTCTGTCTTCAGCCTCATTCTTTTCTAAGTACATTTTACATACTGCTTGAAAACCTCTAGATATCTTTTTTTGAGTCTTTTCCCCAGCTGGAGTTTAATGTCCTTCTGAATTTCCATAGCAACTCGCACTTAGAATAATTCATCCAAGAGATCATCATCTGTTGTTAGTTTTCCTGATACCCAGGCTAGTCTGTGAGCTCCTTGAGGACAGAGGAGAGCCAGGTTGTAGGTAAGGCAAACTTGAAGGAAACATTGAAAATCAAAGAAAGTAGTGTTCTGGAATGTAGTGTTCCCAGGAAATGACCTGGACTGGGTTGTAAGGAGTCAAACCCTAGGGTAATATGAATCGTGGAGTGGTTCATACTTTTGAGTAGAGGTTATAGAATATAGGAGTAAAAGAAGCACAGAATTCTGGGAACTAACATAAAATTAGAAAACAGGTTGTTTTCTACCATTAAGGTTCCAAACTGAATATTGGTATGTCTTAGGTATCTTTTTAAAGAGACAGTTCTTATTTCCTTTTAAAAGCTCTCCCATTATGTCCTTCCACATCTTTCCTCTCAGTTTAAGTAGAATGTATATTTTTATATATTGGTTGTGCAGTCAGGTTGGGAGGCAAAGTGTTATTGGGAGCTGTATCTACAAACATAGTGATTTTAGTCTGGAGATTAGTGGGGGCCGGAATTCATAGTCACTTAAATTGTTTGTATAAGTGTAGTCAATTGTCTTTGAATTCCCTAGTCTGTCTTACAGGAGGATTATTTAACGGATATGCCTATCTTATTTCATTCAATTAATTTCCTCAAAATCTTAGGTTGGATTAAATATTTTATGACAGTAGAAAAGCTGCCTGGAATTACTAAGTCATGTTTACTAGAAGTTTAAAGAATTAATTTTAAAAGTCTTTCCTTTGCACTTGACTGGAATGTGCTGCTGAAAGGTTTTTTTGGGAGTATATATATGTATCAAGACATTGTGTTTTAGAGTAAGGACTCTTGAGTCCAGTGTTGTGCTTCCTGATAACTACCATGAATAAGTCATATATCCTCTCTGTTTGTAAAATAAGGATATTCAAGATATTTACAAAGATGTCAGTGGGGAAGAGAGAATTTTTGGAGGGAGGTTTTTATCAAAAAAATATTTGTTGTGTCTAGTAAACAATTTTTTTCTTAGTCTATTTTTTCTGATGTTAGTATAGCCACATTTACCCTCTTTTGGTTACAATTTACATGAAGGAATGGACAGATTCTTAGAAACACAAAAACTTCTGAAACTGACTCAAAGAGAAGTAGAAAATCTAAATAAACTTATACCTAGTAAAGATATTAAACTAGTAACCAAAAGCCTACCACAAAGAAAAGCTGAGGATGAGTGACTTTACTGGTGAATTCTACCAGACATTTAAGAAATTAACACCAGTGTTTCACCATGGGGAGACACTTCCTGACTTACTCAATGAAGCTTGTATTTCCCTGATACTAAGAGCAGAAAAAGACATCACAAGAAAAGACAACTATAGATCAATATCCCTTTTATATATATAGATACAGAAATTCTCAACCAAATACTAACAAACTGAATCTAGCAACATGTAAAAAGGATTGTACATCATGACCAAAAGGGATATATCCCAGAAACATGAGGTTGATTCAACATATGAAAACCAGAATATCAAAGTACTATTTTATCATAAGAATAAAGGACAATCAGTAGATGCAGAAAAACATTTGACAAAATCCTACATACTTTCTAGATAAAAACACTCAACAAACTTAGGTAAACAAACTCCCTCAACCTGATAAAGGGCGTCAGTGAAAAACCCTTAATCATACTTAATGGTTAAAGACCAAAAGCTTTCCTGTTAAGAACAGGAAAAAGAGTAGGATGTCTGCCCTTGCCCCTTCTATTTAGATTTACATTGTAGTAGAGGTGCTAGCCAGAGCAATTAGACTAGAAAAAGAAAGAATGTATTCACACTGGGAATAAAGAAGTAAAACTATTTGTACTTTTAAATGATATGATCTTGTATAGGAAAAATCCTTATACAGACTGTTAGAGATGATAGGATTTTTCATGTACAAGATCATGTAGTATACAGAAGTCAGTGGCTTTGGTAAGGCTATAAGAAACATTAGTATACAAAAGTCAGTTCTATACCCTAGCAATGAACCATCTGAAAATGAAATTAAGAAAACAGTTCTACTTCCAGTAGCATTAAAAAAGCAACTTGTTTATTCAACAAATTTAATTAAAAAATCTAAGATTTTATACACTGAAAACTATAAAACACTTTTGAAAGAAATTAAAGAAGACCAAAGGCTGTGGTAATGGCATACAGATAGACATATGGATCAAGGGAATAGAATTGAGAGTCTGGCCATAAATGTAGGAATTTATTTCTAATTAGTTTTTGATAACAGTTATTTAATAAATGGACAGACATCCCATGTTTGTGGATGGGAAGACTTAATATTGTTAAGGGCACTACTACCCAAAATGATATAGAAATTTAACATATGCTCTGTCAAAATCACAGCAGGCTTTTATGCAGAAATTGCCCCCCAAATTCATATGGAAATATGAAGGACCCAGAATAGCCAAAATCTTCTTAAAAGTGAAAACAAAGTTAGAGGACTCACACTTCCTGATTTTAAACTTATATAACTATAGCAGTTAAGAATCTCTGGTATTGGTGTAGGGATAGACACATTGATCAATGGAATAGAATTGAGAGACCAGAAGGAAACCCATATGTTTATGGTCAATTGATTTTTGATAAGAGTGTCAAAACAGTTCAGTGGGAGGAAGAATGTTTTATGTCAACACATGGTGCTGAGAGAATAGATATTCACAGGGGAAAAAAATGAAATTGGACCTCTACATCACAACATATATAAATATTAACTCAAAATGGATCAAAGATCTAAAAGTAAGAGCTATTAAACTCTTAGAAGAAAAGATAGGTGTAACCCTTTGTGTCCTTGGGTTAGGCAGTGATTTGTTACATAGGATACCTAAAGCATAAGCAACAAAAGAAAAAATAAAGTCAGGACATTATTAAGCACAATTTCTTAATTGTGCTTCAAGGACACAATAAAAAAATTGAAAAGACAACCCACAGAATGGGAGAAAAAGTTTGCAAATCATATATTCTGTAAGAATATTATCCAGAATATATAAAGACTTCTTAAACTGAGAAATGAAAAGACAAATAATCCAGTTTAAAAATGGGCAAAATCTTTGAATAGATGTTCCTCTGGAGATCTTAACAAGTGGCCAGTAAACATGTGAAAATGTGCTCAAGTAGTTGTTAGGGAAATGCAAGTCAAAACCATGTTAAGGTGTCATTTTACACTCACTAGGAAGGCTAAAATAAAGAAGACATAAGTGTTGGTGAAGATAGGGAGTAGTTGGAACCATCGTACATTGCTGATGGGAATGTAAAATGGTGCAACTACTTGGGAAAGCAGTTTGGTAGTTTCTCAGGAAACTACATTTGGACTTACCAATTTTACTCTTAGGTATACACCCGAGAGAATTGAAAATACGTGTTCTCAAAAAAACTTGGACACGAATGTTACAATAATAGGAACATTATTATGAATAGCCAGAAAGTGGAAACAAATATCTATTGACTGATGAATGGATAAACAAAATGTGGTATATCCATGCAATGGAATATCATTCAGCTATAAAAATGCATGAATTACTGATAGCTGCTATAACATGGATGAACCTTGAAAACACTATTCTAAGTGAAAGAAGCCAGACATAAAAGGCCACATAATGTTTGATTCCATTTATATGAAATGTTCAAAATAGGCAAATCCATAGAGACAGAAAGTAGATTAGTGGTTGCCAGGGGCTACAGAGTGACTTCTAATAGTTAACAGGGTTTCTCTGTTGATTGTGGAAATATGCTTGATACTGGTGAGGGTTCCATAACCTTGTGAATGTACTAAAAACCACTGAATTGTACTTTTTAAAAGTATAAATTTTATGGTATGTGAGTTTTATCTCAGTTTTAAAAAGGAGACAAACCTACACATAAAGATCCTTCTAATTCTGGTAACAATGATTTTCAGTGGATGTGTAATAAAATTATTATAAAGTATGCGTTAAAATTATTACTGGTCACATGAACTATCCAGGTAGTATGATTTCTTTCTTAGAGTAGAATGTTCACGTCTTCTTGTCCCTTAACATGACTTTTAATCATAATTTGGCTATGTGGTAAAAGAATTCTGAACATATGTGTAAATCATTTGCAGTGCCTTTGGCTTCAAGTTATAAAGAATCTAAATAAAAAGTGACATAATAATGTTTATGCCTTGCTGGTTAGATTGGAGGTAGAGCAGCTTCATGGTTGGTTAAGCTGGTTAATGCAATGATACATCATCAAAGGCCCAGATTCTATTTTATCCTCAGTGTGTCATCTTTGCTGTCAGGCTGTTTGGCTTTCTGATCAACCTCCCATCCAGATAGGAAGTTTCCAAAAAGAAAAACAAACTGTTTATGCCTTCTACCATCATCATTTTTTTTTAAAGAGTGAGAAGCCTTTTCCAGAAGCTCCATAGCAAAACTCCTTCCACATTTCATTGGCCAGAATAGGATCATAAGACAATTTCTAAAGCAGTCCCTGGAAGGGGAGTGGAATGTTTATTTTTAAATTCTTTTAAATAGACTTTATCTTTTTTAGGTGATTTTCAGGTTTACAGAAAAATTACACAGACAGTACAGAGTTCCCATATGATCCTGCCACACATAGTTTCCCTTGTTATTAACATTTTGCATTAGTGTGGTACAGTTTTTTTTTTTACAATTGAGGAACTGATGTTGAATAATAATATTATAAACTAAAGTCCATAGTTTACATTAGGGTTCACTTTTTGTGGATCATATCGTAAGCCTAGTTTCGCTTTGTAAGACACTGCCAAACCATCCAACAAGGTGGCTGTACCATGTTACATTCTCATCAGCAGTGCGAGTGCCTGTGGCCCTCCCTGTGTTCTTGTCAGCGTATGCTCCTGTCCACGTTTTGGGTTTTAGTCATTCTAATAGGTGTGCAGTGGCATCTCATTGTAATTGGCAGTCTTCTAATGACACATGATGTTCAGCATCTTTTCATATGTTTATTTGCTGCCTGTATGTCTTCTTTGGAAGGTGAGGTGTCCTCTCTTCAAATCTTGACCATTTTTTAATTGGGTTGTTTGCTTTCTTATTGAGTTTTAAGAATTTTGTTTACATTTGGATACAAGTCCTTTACCAGATACATGTTTTCCAAATACTTTCTGCCAGTCTGTGGCTTTTCATTTACGTGTTTTCATTTAGCATTTTCATTTAAGTGTTTTTCACAAGACAGATGTTTTGGTTTAATAAAGTCTAGCTTAACCATTTTTCCTTTGGAGATCATGCTTTTGGTGTTGAATCTAAAAAATCATCATTAAATCCATGTCACCTAGATTTTCTCCTATGTTTATAGTTTCACACTCCACATTTAGGTCTGTGATCCATTTTGAGTTACCTGTTGTGAAAGGTGTAAGGCCTGTTGGGATTTATTTTCTCTGTCAATGTCTTTATTACAGCACCAACCATTTGTTGAAAAGACTATCCCTTCTCTATTCAGTTGCCTTTTTCCTTTGTTAGAGATCATTCGACTATATTTATGTAGGTCTGTTTCTGGGCATTCTGTTCTGTTCCATTCTGTTAACAGTACCCTACTGTCTTAATCACTATAGCTTTATAGTATGTCTTTAAGTTGGATGGTGTCAGTACTGTGTTGTTCTTCAGTACTGTATTGGCTATCCTGGGTTTTTTGTTTTTCCATACAGACCTTAGAATCAGTTTGCTGGTGTCCACTATTAATAACTTGCTGGGATTTTGATTAGAATTATGTTGAATCTAGATCAAGTTGGGAAAAAAGCAACATTTCAACAATATTTGCACCTTCCTATCAGTGAACATGGGATATCTCATCATTTATTTAGATTGTCTTTGATTTCTTTCATCAGTGTTTTGTAGTTTTGCTCATATAGATCATGTATATATTTTGTTAGATTTGTATCTATTTCATTTTTTTGTGCTAATATAAATGGTGGTATGTTTTAAATTTCAAATTCCAGTTGTTCATTGCTGGTATATAGAAGAGCAATTGGCTTTTGTGTGTTAACTTTGTATCCTGCAAGTTTTCTATCTTCACTTATTATTTCCATATATGTTTATTTTTTATTCTTAATAAAACTGGTAGACTTAGCACCTTTGCTTTAGATAATCTTTTTGAAGATTTTGTAACAGTTTCATTTTATTTTTTTCTTGCAGAGAATGTCTTGGGAAGCATGAGGTGAGTTACAGGCACAAATTTTAAGTAAAGCTTATAATCTGTGCCTCTTCTATTGAGGATTGTTAGAAATGACAAAGTCTAAGTATTATTTTTTTAGTGCTTTAAAAAGTACAAGAGTTTATCTGCAAATTTTTTTTTAAAGATGTACTTTATTTTAGAGTGGGAGAGAGAGAGCTTATGTGTGCCAGTGGGGGAAGGGGCAGAGGCAGAGGGAGAGGGAGAGAAGCAGACTCCCCACTGATCAGGGAACCTGACATGGGGCTTGATCCCAAGAGCCTGAGATCATGACCTGAGCCAAAATCAAGAGTCGGATGCTCAACCAACTGAGCCACCCAGGCGCCCCTCTGCTGATGTTTAAAATATACTGTGCTGGGCGCCTGGGTGGCTCAGTTGGTTAAGCGACTGCCTTCGGCTCAGGTCATGATCCTGGAGTCCC